GAAAGCACGTTGCACAAGAGGGGACGTCTATACAGTCTTATTCACTGCGGAAGCTGGGGCGTGTGAGGGGAAGGGTGGGAACTGAGTTTGGTGCGGCACCAGCCAGTTTTCCCCTTAAACGTGGTCGCCTGCCAGCTTGAGCAGTGAGCAGACCTAAAGGAGCTGCTACGCTTGCTCCCCACCCCTCCCTCCCCCTCCCCCTCCGCAACCCTCCCTGACTAAGTCGACGCCCTATCTGATAACTTCAGTTCTATTTTGATGCTCAATGTATCTTTGGAAATAACAAAACAATTACCAGTGAAAAAATAGCGCAATAGCAGAAAAAGAGAAAAATTGTCAAAAGTACTTCTCCTCATAAGAGACGATAGAGTAAAATATCGTTTCCTGTGATCCCGAGCACCATTAGTGACACCTTCAAATTACGTAAAGTACAGAAGGTCAGCAATCCAGTACTGCTCACTACAGATAAAGGATGTTAGAACAGGTTCGGGCTCAGTGTAATCCGATCAATTTTTATGGCACGGATAATAGAATTTACTCGTTATCGCTCATGAAATATTTCGTACAACATAGTAGAGAAACATTTGAGGCAAATGGTGTGGGGCCGCTCGTAAAATGCTAAGTTTGTAGAAAACTCGTAGAAGATGGAGTTATCGAAGGCTGTTAAGGATACTAACACTCAGCGCATATGTTTAGTGCCTTCTCCTTTACCATGGCACTAACCAAAATCTTAGACTGTGACTCGCAAAGACCATCCGCTACCTTCAGTTCTTATGACCTTGCTCATGAAAATGTTAAGAGCTCTCGCTCATGCTATGCAAAATCTCAGATCTGTGGCTGCACTTCAATATTTCCTCCACTAAGTAGGCTTCCCTCCAAGGCCTGAATTAATTATCAGCTGGTTGCCAGGTGCTGCGCAATTTAACCCTTGGTATCATCAAAAGTTGGCAGCAGACGGAGCCGCAGGACGGGTGCGCTTTATGAGAGCGGTTAATCAGAAGGAGGCTGCCTTACAACATTTCCGGTTTCTGGTCACATAAATTTCGAGATGTAACAAGATTAAATACCAAACCTTACCGTAGAACTTGGTTTTCTTGTAGAAGCTGAGACAATTTTTGCAGGTCATTCGATGTCGAATCCTCGCAAACTTTCATGAAGCTTGACGTTTCAGATACAAGCTTTCTGAAATACGTCAGAAGAAGTTATGGAAGAATAAAAAGAATGATGAAGATCAATACCTGAACCGTTCCTTGTCTTTTGTGGAATTATCACGTTCATCAGGAAATATGCTGGTGACCTCCTTGAACGATGGTTGCTTCGACATCCTAAACGGTGGACCAGTGAAAAATGAAGCTCGATAGCCGACTTTCGTGGACCTTTTCAAAATCAGCTTGTTCCCGAAACGCCCACTCGAAGCCTAGAGGCATGCGCGATTAGGCCTGTTAAGTTCAAAGATGATTTATTGGGAGCTAGTTGCTTCACCAGTGAAGAAGAAAG